TTCAAAGACGTGAAATTCTCTACAAAAAATGTCACTTCATGATTTTTTTTAAAGCTGTGTCTTTCATATATTTTGACAAAAGGAATGAAAAACCAGCTTAGAACTCCTAAACCTATTTCTAATCCTGTTTAGACTTAACCTGTTAATTTTTATAAGATGAGGATTTTTTTTCAATAATTATTCTACAAATATTTCTGAAACTATTGGGTTTGAAGGAAAATGTAAAAAAAACATTATTTGAAATATTTACAAAAGGAAATATCGTCCTGTTTGGAAATGTTTTTGTGAACAAGATTTGATCCTAATTTTTTTCTAATTTTTTTCAGCCCGAAGTCCAGTATATTAAGAAAAATCTCTAAAGTCCTCCTTTGAGACCGCAAAGGTGACATTCCAGACACAATCGGAGGACTTTGCTCTTTTCGAAAAGTCACCCTGATCGATCAAACCCAGGTTTAACTCCGAGTCAACTCTGGGTTTATAGGGAAAACCCAGTGAAGGAAGAAAACAAGTCTGCGAAAGTTCCATTAACCCATAGTGAACCCAGTGTTAACTCTGGGTTTAATTCATCAGGGCGGTCTCAAGGTGGGCCACATCTGCATGCAAGTCCACTGCATCTGCAATCGTTTCAATTTGGTGGAGAGACAGGCGAAGACACCAGAGGGAATAAGGACGCAACTGGTGGAGTGGCCCCCCTAAGGATCGCTGGACTGAGATCAATTACCTGCTGGTTGGTTTCGGTTAGGAGATCTGTCTCCTTGAGCATCCTCAATGTGGACAGCGTCCCAGAAAAAATCTTTTGCTCTTTTCCCCTGATAACACTCAAAATAATTGGGACACTGAACAGGATAAAAAAAATTCTTAATGTTCTATCACTTCCCACCACTTCTCTTCTGAAAGTCGATGCATGATCCATAATTTTCGAATATCGTTTATCAATCATGCTGTTCTACTCGAGATTCAACAAATAATAATTGATTCGTAGCGTAAAATATTAATGTTGAATGAATAATGAAAAAGAACACTTGATATGAAATGATTTTATTTACAAAATAAAGTACAGATTTTTCTATTAATTTCTATTGTTAGTTTCTTTTTGGTCTGACCCTTGATTTTGTTGATAGGTCTCTCCTGCTTAAACTGCGCCTTCTTCGTCAATTTTTTTTCTGCTGTTATTTGTTTCGCTCCAACTCCACTTCTCCAATTTAGCGGAAAAGTCGAATGATTTCGTGAAATTTTGAGTTTGGGGAAAGGCTTTTTTTTCGGTAAGGTGATACAGAATTTTTCGTTGAGATTCATGAGGAATTGATGAAAAGAAATGGAATTAAAACAATTTTATCCCATGTTTTTTGGAATATCTTCGGAATTAGAGGGTTCAGAGACAATGTCGAAGTATATTCTGTGAAGGTCATTACATTTTCTATAAAAAAGGTCTTCTGACATTTTGTTCTAAAATCACTCGTAATCGAGATAATTCAAATATTTCTGAAGGTTGATGAATTAGAAAAAATGAAAGAAAAATCGATTATATGTTCTCCTAAAGTTACTGATTATCAACATAATTTAATCATCTATAAATGTTTTCGACAAAGAATGGCGATGAAAATTCGTAAATATCTATTGGAGCTACTCAAATAATCCTGGAATATCGTCCCCACTAACTGTAGCAAGCGTGAGCAGAAGACTTTGAAGTCATTGAAGACTTTCCTATTACCCGGAAAGCCTCGTTAATGGCTGCTTATTTCGCATTATTCGGCATTCACAATTAGAAAAATATTCCTCTCATTATCAGTTAGCTACACTGTTGATGATACTTAAATATCAACATTTCATTTGATTTCCTTTCCTCCATTGTCTATTCAGGTTTAAAAGTAATAAATTGAATGATTATGAAATTCTAATTGAGAAAGAAAAAAAACTTCAAGGAATTTCGAATAATGTGCCCATTGAGCATTTTTTTCAATTGGAAATTTGTAGTGAATCGACAAACTAGGATAAATACTACGCATCTAGGGTTCGGTGTCGGTGGATATCTCGTGAGTGGGGACAGTTAAGAAAAATTCCATGGAATTTTTTTTGTAGAGCGAAATGTGAGCTAAAAAAAATCATATGAAAATTTTGCTATTTCTCCTCATGCAGAAGATATTCATCACAGTGAAAACACCTCGGTAATCTACAAAAAAAAATTTATTCAGACGGGCATGAAGCCTCATATCACAGACTAGATAACGAAAAAAAAGTTCGTTAGTCGGTGGCAGACAACTTTTCTGGCGATTTTGTTGTAATCTTTGACTTTGCTTCGGACTGCAAACACACAAACGCCAGAAAAGCTTTTCATGGCCTCAATGACAGAATCTACTATATAATTATTATAAAAAATACTTACATCCTATGACCATCAATACTCTCCCCCGATGGGGAGGGCGTTGTGGATGACTGCATTTTTTGTCAGCTCTTGGAGCCATGGGCATTCCCAAAACTCTTCGTTTCCCTCTGAAGCTCCTGAGAGGTGGAGTTCAATCTCGGCATTCTCTCAGGTGATTTTTGTGTGAAAACTTGGACCCCCGAACTATTGGCTACAAAAACTTCAATTCTCAGTGAACCTCGAATGTTTTCAGCTAATTCGACTTTACAGATTTTTCTTAATATACTGGGCTGAATAATACTTCGGGCTGAAGAAAATTAGAAAAAAATTAGGATCAAATGTTGTTCACAAAAACATTTCCAAACAGGATGATATATTCCTTTTGTCAAAATATATGAAAGACACAGCTTTAAGAAAAATTCATGAAGTGACATTTTTTGTAGAGAATTTCACGTCTTTGAAAAATGTTTTTTAAAATTTCCCTTTAAAACCGACAGTTTCAGAAAACTATTCACAATGATCGAATAGCTCATTACTTTTCCAAACTTTTCAGAAGGTTTGAATGATTTTCTTCATCTCATAAAAACTAACAGGATGAATTAATTTCCTAGATTTCCTATTAAGATCCGGAGTACACCCATAATTTTGGAGTCTCTCCATAGCTGCGTATGTCACCTAATCCTTTGTTTGACTGATCAACACAAGTTCTAGCAGCAACTGGAATCGAAAATCTGAAAGGCTCGCTTTTTCGTCCGAGCACTTTTGTGGCAGCCCATTTCGTCCACTGGAGAGCTCGAACGTCTCCTGCCAGTTATCTGTCTCTTCATTTTTCGGGGATTTCGCCAGCTTTTTTAATTCTGATTTTAGGGAATTGGGAGGGTTTTTTTTAGTATTTCATCTCCATGGATTTTCCTTTCCTGGGGGCTTTGGACTTCTGATGCTTAGAGATTTCAGCAACGAAACACTCTGACACTGTCTGCCTCTATAAATCCTTTCATGTTTTATCAGGGGTCCAGTGATTTTGTTTTTAAATGTCGTCAATTTTTCATTCAACCGCTTACTCATAATTTTCACGAGATTGATTAAAGGTACGTGACAGGGGAACATTCAGGTTAGCGAGAGGGACATAACCTCACTTTTTTATATGTAAATGGGATAAGTGATGGGAAGGGGAAGACTCAGTCACGTGACTCCTGAACAATAATAACTTCATTCCTTTTTTATTCATTTTCGATGCAATATTACATTTCCAAATGAAAAAAACATTCTCACTATTATTTCCAAATTGTTCTACATCGATTAAAGTGAAATTTTATTAATTTCGGTCAATGTTTGCCAAATATACGGTCCAACAGTTTTTTATTAATTACTGAATAACTATTTGTTTCCAAATTATGAAAAAGCCGTTCTAAATTTTTCCAAATCATTTCCTAATTATTACATTGATTATTTTTGAAAAATATGTAATATGTTCGCCAAGTATACGGCGGTCAAACCACGCTCCCACGGGATGGTCAAATTTCACGAGAGTCAAACTTCACGAGGGTTACCAAATGGCTCACCAAAAGGGCATCGTCAAATTCTTAATTTTCCAGGACCGTAAATGATAATGTGGAACATTCAATAAAGCATAACAATTGATTATAAGTGTTCCTTCCAGTACATAATAATATTGACACGGTTGATCCTTGTACTATAATTGACGTTCGTGGAATTAAACCCCTTGATACGCGTGCCCCTCGTTAAGGATCTACTATTACACCCTTTCGGCCAAAATTCACGTTTTTTTCATTTTCCTGGCAAATTATTGACCGGATTGACGCAAAATAATATACCGTTTTAGCGTTTTAACATCATTGACTGACTCACGAAGTTTTATGGTAATCATTTTCCTGCATTTTTTCTAAAGTTTTGTGAATTTCTGAAAAGTTTTAGAAAAAACGCAGGAAAACGATTGCACGATCATGAAATTTCGTGAGTCATTAAGTAATGATAAAACTCAAAAACGGTATATTTTTTCACGTCAATCCGATCATGAATTTGCCAGAAAAATTTAAAAAACGTGAATTTTGGCGAAAAGGGATGTGTAATACATCCTTAAATTGAACCCTCGTAACTATCTACAGCTGAGACATTTGATCCTCATAGCACTGAACCCTCGTGACCCTCGTGAAATTAGACTCTTGAGACGCTTGACTCTCGTTAAATTGAATCCGTGTAACCCTCGTGAAATTGAACCCTTCAGACGCTTGACCCTCCTTAAATTGAACCCTCGTGGCCCTCGTTACATTGTACCCTTCAGACGCTTGACCCTCGCAACCCTCGTGAAATTGAATCCTTTAAACGCTTGAGCCTCGTTACATTGAGCCCTGAAAAATATTGCTAGCAATGTTAATATAGTTTGTATGAAAAATTGAAGAATAAAGAGTTTAATATGCTATAATTTTTTTTATTTGTATTATACTGGATTTTTTACATATAATAAGTTTTTCAAATTTTCCTGTTTGAAGTGGGCGGGAATTGGCGGGGAAAATTTTGGAGGGGGCTATTTTTGGGGCTATACCAGCGCCACGTATTGGCGGTTCGGCTCCCCAAGATCTGGCAACCCTGGACCAGCCTCCAGTAAATAGCTGCCAACTTCAGAAGAATCGATTGTTTTGTCTCCCGCAATTCTGTTTCTCACGAGTTTTCAAGATTTTGATAATTTGGAGTAACAAGTCATTGTCAGTCAGCAAAAAACCTCCGACATTCATTCTTGAACATTCGATATTATATTTCCACAGAGCTTGGGAATATCTGAAGTTTCCCAGGATGGTTCTGACTAAGGAGTACAGGATATGCATGCCTTTGTCTACGGAAGAGGTAAAAATCATTTGATTACATATCGAATTACGGAGAATCCAATCAATTTCTTTGAGTGCAACAATTCGATTTTGGTGTACAGTACCGGGTGGGACAACTTTACATGATCGCGAGGCATAGTCATGAGCAGTCGGACGCTGATGAGGGAGTGGAGGTCGTGGAGAACTCTGAATGTGAAGATCCAGTGCATGGAAAAGGACAGTACACTGAGAAGAGAATTCATTTATCGAGGTAATATATAGCTTTTTCTTTTCATGATTTAATGTTGAGATAATATTCACAACGATAAGAGTGAGAACTTTCATTTATTTTTACATTAAAAAAATTCTATCGAATTTGTTTTCATTTGAATTCTATGCGAATTCAGATAAAAGTCTATTCCAAATTTTATTTGTTTCTTGCCGATTGCCGTTGAAAATTATGAAATTATACCTGCCTTTTTTTGACAGAATATTTGCTTGGAAACAGTTGATAGATATCGACTTTTACATATTGCTTATTTCACTGCAGTTGTTTATATGAAAATTATCCAGCATGAATTTTATGAATCGACTTTTTTTGGACTTCGTAATAAGACACAAATCAAAATATAATAGATGTTTTAGAATTTCTATTTAAAAAATTTCCAATCTTTGCAGTCCAATTCATTTTTTTTTCAGTTTGAAGGTAATTTTTAGGGTTTAAAAAAATGGTTACATTCCAAAATTCCCCGGTCAAAATTCCCGCGTCAGAATTCCCTGCGTCAAAATACCCCCGCGTCTAAATTCCTCAGGTCAATATTCCCCCCTCAAAATACCCCCGTGTCAAAATTCCCCGCGAGAAAATCCACCCGCAACAGAACTACCTTGAACAAAGGATCTCAATGACAAAATGAAAATAAACACAAAATCAATTGAAAAAGGCCTTGTACAGTAGACGGATTGGGCATTAGAATCATAATAAGCACTCAACAGGTGTGTCATATTATAAAAACAACAACAGAATTGACTGTTATTAAAATTTGAATAAAGATTTTCACGAACCAAATATATAATTTCAAAGAAACCGCATAAATACGCCATACGAGAAATTTTATCGGCAGGAATTATTGGGTTAGGAGAATTGGCGCAAGGAATATTAACATGAAGGAATTATGTCGGGAAGAACAATGACGGGGGGAATTTCGACCAGGGAAATATGGGGCGAGGAATTTTGACGGGGGAATTTTGGCGTGTCACCTTAATTTTGAAGGCTGTACAATGAGAGAAGAAGGAGACAAAAAAATATATAGAATTGAGGCCCGGGTGGATTATCTTACGAACGTGATCTTGGTTGTTTTTTTTATTTTGATAATCTGAAATGATCTCCAATTGCTATTCAGTTTTGCATAGCTCTGGAGTCTCCAAAAATTATGATTATACAATTAAAAAAACGTTGAAAAACAGCTGAACATTTTCAAAGAGCGTTTTTGAATAATATTGGGAAATAAACCCAATAGAGAGGAAATTGTAAATTAATAATTTGATGTATCTAATGGCTGTTAAGTCTTCATTTGTCACAGTAGTCAATGGCTGTCAGATTGTTAGTTACCATGATAAATTATCCATTCACTATTCCCTTTCCCTTGGACTTATTTCTTAATCTTTATTAAAAATGCTCTTTGAAAATCATCAGTTTTTTTTCTCCTTTTTTTGATTGTACAATAGCCCGCCCTGCATGATCGCAATTTTTAAATTTTAGTACAGGAGTATATGGGTTATTCTATGTGAACTCACCCAGGTCGAAACCCTCACCATCGCCAATCATATTGCCGATTTTTCCTGTGGTTGTATATGGAAAAATATGACTTCTCAAATTTTTTCAGATTTTTTGAGGCATCCTGTGGGCAGCCATGTTTTTTTGCAAGTTTTATCTTCAAATGCGTGTAACTTCCGTAAAAATCAACCGATTTGAGTTTTTTTTTACAAAATGTGCGTCTTCAAACACACTTTCCACATAAAAATATGCCAATTTTTTTCAATTTGTTCTTCCATCGATTTCCTCAGAAAAACCTCGAAAAACTTCAAAAAACGGGTCGTTTTCAAAGTTGGACCCTTTTTATATTTTTCAAAAAATTGCAGTGAGTATATTGGACCAAAATAAAATTTTTCACCAAAGGCCAAAGTGGGATCTCTATTAGAACACACCATTCGGAAAGATTTATTGTTAACGAATTTTCAAAAAGTCATCAAATTGTTCCAGATTCGAATATAATGCCGTGATTCTTCAGGCGGTAAATTCAAATAATGCTTCTGCGTTCAAATGCGAAAAGAATTTTGAAATTTTTGAAATTTTTCATCCCGGATTCATATATTCAAATTGGAAATGACGGCCACGAAATGGGAAGCCCACTTTGGCCTTTGGTAAAAAATTTTTGTTTTGGTCCAATATATTCACTGAAATTTTTTGAAAAATATAAAAAGGTCCAACTTTGAAAACGACTCTTTTTTTGAAGTTTTTTGAGGTTTCTCTGAGGAAATCGATGAAAGAATGAATTGAAAAAATTGGCATATTTTTATATGGAAAGTGTGTTCAAAGACGCACATTTTGTAGAAAAAAAAACTCAAATCGGTTGATTTTTACGGAAGTTACAGGCATTTGAAGATAAAACTTGCAAAAAAACATGGCTGTCCACAGGATGCCTCAGAAAATCTGAAAAAATTTGAGAAATCATATTTTTCCATATACAACCACAGGAAAAATCGGCAATATGATTGGTGATGGTGACGGTTTTGACCTGGGTGAGTTCACATGGAATACCCCATATGAAATCGATCGTTCAATAGATGAAGAAACAATAGGATTTTTTTCAGATTTTTCAGGACACTATTGCATGCAGCATAAGATTTTCAAAATTCTTATGCGGTTATCGCTATAATCAAGAGATGAAACAAAAATTCGACATTTGAGTGAGTAAATACTCACATTTAGGCTAATATGTTTTAAATGCTATTCCCAGAGGCTTGAAGAACACAATAGATAAGCTATCGCGATTTTGAACTCATTTTTCACTGAATTAACAAGTAGGATTTTTGCTTAAATTACGGGTTTTGAGGAACGTCTGGTAGCGTTCTACTATTAACGAATTCATTTCGAACCTCATCAAATGATTTTTCAATTATCTTTTCGTCATCTTAGAAATTGGTATTTATGTTGTCTTATTCTGAATGGAACAAAAATGCAAAAGAAAATTCGTCCATTTCTGAAGAGTGACAACTGTACGAATTATCCAGCCTCATTATGAAGGCCATATACCTGAAACGTAGAGGGTCAGCCAACTGGCTAGACCTCTCCTCAAAAGGGAGGACCAAACGTTTTATTACCCTCAGTATATCGTAGTCTACCTTTTTAATTCTAATGTTAAATTTTTCTATTTAGTCGTAATTTCAATGCTAAATTTTCATCGTGATTTTCTGCATTCAATGACAATTCCAACACAGCTCGATTGAAAAAAATATCTCAATTTAAAGTGAAAGTACTCGAATTTCTGGAATTGCTTATTTGGAATTCAATATTAAATTTCAATTCAAGTGAGAATCAAATTATTGAATCGCGATTGAGGAAGGACAATAATTCTCATGCAAAAAAATATCGAAGGAGTGGGAAGGAATGGGAAGTGCAAAGATGTAGTACTTTTCGATGGTAGTGCGTGAAGTCTTTTTTAGAAGTTTTTTTTTTTCAAGAAAACATTTTAGCAGTATCGAACAATATTATTCATCAACGAGTGCTCGAAGTCACGAATTTACGCCCGCAGTCATGCATAAAAAGTTACTTTACGCACTAGTAATGAAAATTAGGTTTGGCTAATCATTTACTCAATGTTTAAAAGTTTTATCATTTATTTGACAATTTTATGATAAACATAACGAGAAATCAATACATAACAATCAGTGCTAAGACTAAATTTCAATCCGTATCACCTGAAGTTTCCGTGGATCTATCATTCAAATATTTTGTCAATGAAAATTCCAAATGTTCCTTATCACAACCCGATGATGATTCTCGGAACTTTTGTTCAACTAACATTAAATTTTATTTATCGTCCTTTCGAATTATATTCTTATTAACTAATGAATCTATACTCAACTCACGAATCAAATCTACATCATTCATTCCGTTTTTCCTTTGCTCTCTACCTTTTGTTACGGCAGAACGAGATTTGATAGCCTGACACATCTTTCTCTTGCATTCTACACTCACATTATCATCAAAAAAAGCCAAAGCAATTAGTTCCTCTGATAAATACCATAGATGGGTCAAAAACTTATCAAAGACAGCTTCCCAAACTTTTGATGACGAACGGCTAGAACACTTTGCATATGCTGCTAATTCTTTCAATAAAACTAAATCATTGTTAGGAGTTTCGACCGAATCTGAAGCAGTGAACCAGGCTTTCTGATACAGAAGGACGATAAAAATGCATATATCAATCAGACCTGATTTTTCTTTGGGCGTCAGATGAAATTGATCTCTGAACAGGAAAATCTTGAGGGAATAAATTGCCTTTGACATCCACCGAGCATGATGAATCGGACCTAAAGCTCGGAATTGTTTTCCTTTTGCTACATTTCCCCCCAGAAAAATCAGCACCAATTCGAAGAACTCCGAAGTAGTCTCTACGAATGTGTTTATCCTATGGAATTGACAAAAAAATACATGCCATTAACCCCAACGGTTAAACGTTCAGAATTTTCATGAATTATAGATGAGGATGAGTTATATACATAATGAATTATAATAACTAACCTTCAAGTATCTATCGGTGAAAGTGAGGATTTTTGTCAAATCTCGAGGGAGTCTTTCTCTCACCATGTCGTCATGTATTCCGGGTGAAAATTCCTCTATCAATTTTGAAACCTCTTGAAAATTGCCACATCTGGACCGGAAGTACATCCCATTGAAGATTCAAAAGTTGTCTTCAGTAGAAGCTCGAAAATATGATGACGGCACGCTAAATACAAGAGATCCCTTCCAAGGAGTTTCTCGAGTAAAATGCACCATTCGATGTGCCTGTATTACTGGCGTTGTGTCAAAAACCATGGCACATACTTCATCGGTAAGGTCCCACTCTTTTAATAGCTCGTGAATGGCTTGTGCTTGCAATTCTCCAGTTCCTCGTTCCAGTTTAGGAATGCCAAGTAATTGGTGCCACTCCTGACCTGACACCAAGACTGGGACACGATCGACTTTTAAAAATCTACCTTCCGGTGCCGACAGTTGTTTTCCATCCCAGTGGACAAAATAGGGCACGATCTTATTCTTGCATTATGCCGGATAATTTGACTTAGTGACTGTCGATGTAGCTGTCGATTTTTACGAACAGTCTCTCTGCTCAGATGGACATGGTCGAGAGTTATACCACTCTGAATTAGAGCGCCTGCTAACATTAGTGCAGCCATGCGATCGCTCATCTTGGCTCTATCCAAAATTGCCGTGATATCTGTGGTCATTATCTTCAGTTTTTTAGATTTCATCAGCACTGAGTGAACTTCATAATCGGAATCGATTTCTCTATCATCACTATCAGTACCTTCAAACTCTTTTAAAAGTTCTTTAATGTCTTCGTCCTCTCCGAAAATATAATTCGCGTAATTCATAGCGATTCCACCTTGTTGAACTGGAATTAAAAATCAAGATTTTTGAATATTATCCCTTTCTCTGTCTGTCGGAATTATTTTTTGAGGTTAATTACAGAGTAATGTAATTATTAAGACAAAATATTGTAGCCCGAAGATACGAATATTTCATTCCTTTTCAATTCCTTCTGTTCAATCAAATTCTTATAGTTTTGGACCTCTGTAAATTTATTAATGTGATAGAAATTAGACTATACCAACGTACCTCGTTCTGATGACTCATTTGTTCCATTTGCTTCTGCTTCTGCTTTTTGTATACATTCAGCGATCCATGTTCCCGTGTCAATGATTGTATCCAAACAACCATTTCGTCCTTTTTCGCGGTGGATATTCAAGAGGGTCAATGCGGCATCATTCTTCAAAACTTTCACTTGCTTTTGACGGGCAATATCGAATAAATCGTCCAGAATACATATAAAATCAATCTCTTTCACTTGATAATTTAAATATTTATCTTTGAGAACACCGAACTTAAGGATAGTTTTATAGTGTTGCACTAATTTTTCCAACTTCTTAATTGCGTATGACTCATCGATGATCGAAATTCCTGCATATTTCCAGAATAGAGCACACTTTTGCACTACACACTTGAGAGTTTCGCGAGCAGTGCGTTTTGGTGTACCATGTCTCGTATGATAAAAGTAACATTCTAAATCTTGCTTGTTAGAAGGCAGTTGATTTCCACAAATTTCCGATTTCGCGTTACCGACTAATGGAATTTCTGTAGATTGTCGCGTTTTCGGCATCTACACTTTTTTTCTCAAATATTCAACTAAGTCAACTTAGTTATTGCTCTGATGTCGACTGTTGGAAAGTCCTGCTACGACTGCACTTTGATGCTTACACGAGTCTAGCCCATTAGAGGAAGGAAATGAATGGTGGACTCCGCCCTTAGCATTTGCATGAGGAACGAAATCGGCTTTTCGTATTGTGGATACCTCAAGGTTGAAGGCCTACCTGATTTGCAGGTAATTTTCGTCCTTTCGTCCTCCAATCTCCGATGTAGATACCCAAATTTTCCATTCTGAGAAAAATTTGTATTAGCCCCCAATCAAGGGGATAAATTTGTATGCACATTATGAATTTCCGTGACTTATTTACTGAGCTATATTTCAAACGCTGTATAATATAAATAACATGGATAGAGGCAGAGGAGAGAAAGTTCACAACAAAGAATATTCGTAACGAAAATGATTCATTCGGTCAAAGAACTTATTTTCTTATCAACTTTTATGGTTGAGAAGATACTGATGTGGATGGAAGTAAAATGGTCGCAGACAAATCAAAAATAAAACATTAAACATTTCATTTCATTCCCACTGAATGCCGAGATATCAAATTTTTTTGGAAAAACGGCTATAATTGTCCACTTTATAGAAATTTTCAGTCTGTCGCTAGGTAGTCAGTATCATAGACTGGCTGCAGAACGGAAGAAAATTTAAAAAACAATGGTAAAAATACTGTTCTTCCGATTTCGCTGTAGTTGCACTCTGTTCTGTACTTCCCTATTGTAACGGAAGAGAGAGATACTCCTATGCCTCATACAGTTGTGTGAGTGCGCGCTGGCATATCCATTCTATATTATCTGAAATATGTCCCTACAGTGGGTGAACATTGAACACTCTGGCTACCTGCCCGAAGACCGTTATAAAGTCATTTAACTTTTCACCAACGTCCTTAGCTATAAACTGTCAGAAAGTCAGATATTTTCATAGAATTTTAAATTGTTTATGCTGCCTTTAAAAAAGCCACGAAAAATCAGAAAAAAAATCCATGATCTTCCCATGCACTCAGTCATTGATTACGCATACTCCTGTTCCGAAATTGCGAGACTTCGGCCGAATAGGGCAGGCTATTGTACAATCATAATTTTTAGTGACTCCTGCGTGACGTAAAATCCAATGGAAATTGTAATATATCTTACATTATCAAGATGGAAAAACAATCGAGATAACGTTGGAAAGATAAGCCACCCGAGCCTTAAAAGAAAATCCTAGTAGAATTCTCATAGAGTTCGAATGAAGATTCAATTGAATAGCCTACCTAAAATACTAGTTTATTGTATCGCATCCTCTTACATGTGTTTTTTTTACACTTACTGTTACTATCGCACCTATTGCAGTATCGTCACAGGTTCTTATTATTTGTGCATTTGACAAGTCCAGCTTCCTACTTGTACTGGTGCAAGAGCTGAGCAGTTGATTATTTTTCACAGACAGAGATATTTTTGTTGGTAAACACTCGATGTCCATATTATCGAGATCATGAAAAAAAATCGTTTTGGAGGGAGGAAACCAAATTTACAATGATCAAGACCTTGAAAAGATGATAAGTTCATCAAGTTGGCTTTTTCAAAAGAAAATTTCTCAGCCTAACGAACAGGTCGTAATCATGTAGATTTTTCCCTGATGAGAAACAATTTTTGTCGTGATTTCAATCGAATTTTTTCTTTTTGTTCTAATTTTTTGAGCATATGTGGACGGTTTAGAGCTGAGCCGGGCCCTATTCCATGAAAATCAAATATAAATACGATTCAGTATCAAATATCTGATGATGAAGGAAGACTTTTCTTTAAAAAATAGTTTTGTTTCTAAAGCAAAAATGAGACAATCTTCCCTATTTTATTTCATTATTCTACCATACCTGTGAATATGAAAAGGAAAATTTTTTGTTCACAAACAAATACCATTATTTCAAGGAATTTTTATCAACCATTTCAATTAGTATTTATCTGAATTAAACTATTCAACAATACATTCATTTGCAATATTCCATGAATCAACGATGAAACTTATTTCGAATACAATTTTTCAGATTCTAAATTTTCAAGTTATATTTTGAAATGAAAGTTCTTTCAAAATATATCTAATGAAGTTCATTATAAGATTCTAACTCTCCCGGTTTTCAAGATAACTACAAAAAACGAAAATTTAATTGGAAGAAATGTTCAACAATTGTGTTTGCCTGTTCAGCAAACTGCCATATTGGATCCAAGCACTCATCCCCAGGATATTCTACGTCACGGAAAAAGCCTGGAACTACTATCCCTTCACTATAACAGGTACTTCTCTCCTTTCATCACCGCCAGACCTATAAAATAAAGAGAGATTGTCCAAAATTTTAATATATCCTCCTTTAAATCTTTTTCAGAATACACTGTAAGTTTTCATTGGATCAATCAGCTAATAAAAACCTCGAAGTTTTTATCAATCATTAACGTTCGTTATCATTTTCTAGTGTTCTTTCCTCCCGAAATTCCAAATCTCCATCAGAACTCGGTACGAGGACAACAATGGATCAACCGAAAACGTAAGACAATTCATTAATTCACTAATGGTTGAGGATATCCGACTACTTTGGCCATTTTGTTCAACTTTTGTAGTTGATCATTTGCCTCTAGATCACTCAACGTTTTGCAATGATTTTATTATTGTTATGCCCAACGATGTATAATGAAGGACACAGGGATTAATTAAATAGATGGGGCGGTTTATTTTCGTACACAGAAGGCAACACGATGTGTCTTGTACCAGAGTTCCAAGGAGAATCGTCCAACCTTCAAGTTATTCCAAAAGACAGATGTTATCAAGGGAGTTTAGTGACATCCTTCAGATGATAGACAATTGCATTCTGATTCGAAGGGGGATACGCAACACTACTTCCCTCCGTGAAAAGATTGCCGCTTCGGCAATCACACCAGGGACTATTTGAGGTGTTACAACTTCAGCTATCTTTTTGAAAAAAAAAAATTGTAATGAGGAAAATTTATGGGTTGTAATATCTCACATAGGGAGGGCCCCAGTCTGTTCTTCAGCTAAAACCTCCCAGAAATCAACGCTGAAGAACAACCCAATTCATACACTTGTTTGACTCTATACAATATTAAGTTTCCAAAAGTGTTCGTTACAGTTCTCAATGAAAGAAATAATGTATTCTCATGCCTATTATTCATTAATGGTGTGTGAGTATCAGTGTTTGATTCGAATTTCGATTCATGTTTTCTGAAATAACAAAATCATTCACTCAAAAATTTTCCAACACGGTTCCAGCATCTAAAGACAACTCAACACAAAGAATTCCTCAGATTAGAAAAATATTCAAATAAGAATTTCATTCAACCCAAAAGCAACAAGCAACTACTGTTCAAAGCACTTGTCTGCAGACAATTACTATACAAATAACTACTTTACAAGCAACTACCAAAAATTCAAACTTTTTCAAATACCATGGTTATAATTTTTCGAAAGCTTTCGAAATTGTAAAAAGCGTGAAGCAAAATTAAGCATTATCTACAGTAACACACACACACTCATTCATACAGTCATTCAAAAATTTTCAATAAAATCAAATGAAAGCTGAAATAGCTTGGTAATTCATAACTCATCAGGTCAGTTTGTTACAACAAACATAAATCATCAGGCCAGTCTGCTACAACAGACATAAATAAACAGGCCAGTCTGCTACAACAGACGTTAATAATCAGGCCAGTCTGCTACAACAGACATAAATAAACAGGCCAGTCTGCTACAACAGACGTTAATAATCAGGCCAGTCTGCTACAACAGACATAAATAAACAGGCCAGTCTGTTACAACAGACATAAATAATCAGCGCAGTCTGCTACAACAGACATAAATAATTAGCGCAGTCTACTACAATAGACATATTTGTAGGGAATTGATTCCAAAGCTGGAAGAAAAAATGAATTTAATCGTAAAAATCATCCTGATCATCATGCTCCATTGGCCATAGACGATTGACATGAACTACTTTGAATTTGCCCCTTGGGAATTTCTGAATTCGATAGACAACGTCATTTAGTTTGGATTTGATCACGTATGTTTTTTTCCAATTCCTTTGAATCTTTGGACATTGACCTTTGACTCTTTTGGGGGCAAAGAGCCAAACTTTCTGGCCAGGAGTAAAGTAAACCATGTGGGCCTCCAAATCAAATTTAGACTTCATTTGTCACTTTTGAGTCTCCAATTTTCTCTGACCTGTTGATGAGTATTTACTAATTGTTCTTGTAACTGATCAACATAATCAGGAAGATCAACGTGATTGTTGGAGTCATTGAATAAAGGAGTACCATGAAGCAAATCCAAAGGAAGTCGTAGTTCTCTACCGAACATCAAATTGCAGGAGTGAACTGCGTTGTTTGATGCTTGGAAGAGCGATATGCCAGGAGGAATAATGGTAACCACTTGTCCCACGAATTCTCATTATCATTAAGAAATTTAGTGAGGTAGTTAACGATAGTCCTCTTTAAACGTTCAACCATACCATTTGATTGTGGATGTAACGGAGTTGTACGAGTTTTGTGAATACCTAATAGTATCATAAGTGAGTTGAAAATTGTGGATTCGAAACCTGTTTCTTGATCCGAGTGGATTTCCAGGGATATTCCAAAACGTGAAATGACACTAACTATCAGAGCTTCAGAGATAGTAGCTGCTCGGTGATTGGGAAGTAGGATTGCTTCAGGCCAACCAGAAAAATAATCAGTGATTACAAGAACGAAACGATTGCCACTGGATGTTCTTGGTAATGGACTCAGGATGTCAACTGCGATTCTCTCAAAAGGAAACCCAACATTGTAGAGTTGTTATTCTCCTCTGGCTCGCTGTGATGGACCATCTCGGCTGAAACAAACAGAACATCTGCGGCAGCAATTCTCGACATCGAATTTGCATGTAGCCCAATAGAAACGTTTTCGAATATTGTCCAGCATTTTGTTGACCTTGAAATGACCACCGAGAGGAGAAGAGTGAGCGGTTCTAAGTATCTCCTTCACGGAAGAGCGAGGAACAACAATTTGGAGAAGAATTTTCGATTTGTCATTAGATTCCCATCGACGATAAAGGGTATTCTCTATCAGCTCTAGAGAATCCCAGTAGAGTAAATAGAGTTTGACATTCGGACCAAGGTGAGAAATTTCGTGCCACTCAGGACGTTGATTCTGTTTTTTGGATTCAATCAACATGCGGAGAGTTGAATCCTGAGCCTGTAAAGTCGACTAATTATAATCATCGTTAGCAGTGTAAGTGGTTCGGAAAACGCGTTTCTCTTCTTCCTCTTCTCGTGTCCTCTTCTCTCTCTTGTGATCTGTAAGTAGCATTGACGAACTTGTTTACTCTGCTTGCTTGAACGTACTTTTCTGCCCTATATTCGCCCCCGGGCGGTTTTGTTGCACGTACGTTGCATGCGCTTTTTTGCAACCGACTGTTGGAAGCATTATTCCCTTCTGTTGGTTGCATTTTTGGTTTTTATTTGGCTTTTGGAGTTTGGATGGCGGTGCACCTAACCTATAAACTTTGTCTACGCTCTCTCTCATTCACGCTTGCTATCTCTCTTTGAACCACCTGTCAACTCGGAAGTGGCGACATCTTTTGACGCAGTAAGGATTTTCAATCAGGCTTAGGTGGTAACACCTGTCAACCTGGAAGTGGCGACATCTGGAAACTGAGTCTGGGAACTCTACGTTACCAACTGCTGGTAATTTACCANAACCTGGACGTGGCGATATCTGGAAACTGAGTCTGGGAACTCTACGTTACCAACTACTGGTAATCCACCGAGGGCATCATTTTGCGCGGTTCATTTGAATTTTTTGAATTTTTCACTGAACATGGAAGGGGATAAGAAGGTATGTGGAATTTGCGCCAAGACTAAGGACGGCAAAATGCATCAGTATGCGGTTTGCAAAAGATTCCTGCATGTAAATTGTACCAGGTTCCAAATGACACATACACTACAAAAAGTCCCTACTGAAAACGTCACTGAAATTCAGTATTCAGAGGGCAAGTAGGGTTAGCAGTCTTAAATTAAGATGGATATGGTATCTGAATGATAGTATCTTACAAAAATTAAGTATTCTCGCGAGGGATAAGAGAGCTGTACTATCTTAAATAATAAGACCGATAATTTAAGATATGAAAGGGATTTGAATTTAAGAGAGTCCAGATCGTTTCAGTTACGTGGGGTTTAAGACCCATCGGGAATATAAGTTATGTGCATGAATTCAGTAGTGACGTTTAAGACAATTTTAATGTCTTATTAAAAGATGTATTAATTATTAAGTATTAATTATTTTTTCTCTTTTTTGGAGCAGTGGGGTGGGGGGAAGGAGTTAGAGACAAACAATAATATTAATCATGTTTTCTTTTTTCCGAGCAGAGGGGCGGTGGGCGGAGGGGGAGGGGGTAGAACCAAATAATAACATTAATTATTTTTTTTTTTTTTTGGAGCAGTGGGGCGGGGGGAAGGGGTTAGAGACAAATAATAATATTAATCATTTTTTCTTTTTTTTTCTTGGGAGTAGAGCGGAGGGAGAGGGGGTAGAGCCAAATAATAACATTAATTATTTTTTCTCTTTTTTGGAGCAGTGGGAGGGACGGGCTAGAGACAAATGATAATATTAATTATTTTTGATATTTTTTTTTTTGAGCAGAGGGGTGGGGCGAAGGGGTTAGAGACAAATAATAATATTAATCATTTTTTCTTTTTTTTCTTGTTTGGGAGTAGAGCGGAGGGGGAGGGGGTAGAGCCAAATAATAACATTAATTATTTTTTTTCTTTTTTGGAGCAGCGGGGTGGGGAGAAGGGGTTAGAGACAAATAATAATATTAATCATTTTTTCTTTTTTTTTCTTTTTTGGAGTAGAGGGTGGAGGGGTAGGGTGCAGAGCCAAATAATAACATTAATTATTTTTTCTCTTTTTTGGAGTAGTGGGGAGGGGCTAGAGACAAATGATAATATTAATTATTTTTGATATTTTTTTCATTTTTTGGAGCAGTGGGATGGGGGGGAGGGGTTAGAGACAAGTGATAATATTATTGCTTCCGAATGGAAGCATTGTAATCGGTCGATTTTTCGATTCGCTAATTTTGCTTCGAAATGATGTAGAATGGTCTGAAACATTAAAACACAAAATGTGAGGACCATGTATGTATGTGTCCGAAAGTGTGGGTCGATTTTTTCGAAAATTTTTTATAAATAACGGGAAAACAAGCAGGGGTAGAAGCCTACTTGATATAAGACGAATGATCGTTACTTTTTTTTTCTCATACTTTTTTTTCTTTTTTTTTCTACCAATTTCATTGATAGTAAGCTTCCGAAGGGAAGCATATTAGAGATTAAAAGATGAGAACCAAATTCGATAGTGAGCCATCAATTTTTTATTCTCAACTCGCATTTGTAAAATCATCATTTTCTCTTACTTTTCTTATCAATAAAAGTATGTTGTTCTATTCTGATTCAATTATTTCCTTTGATTTGTTTCCATTGGCAAGAAATATGAATTCCACTCA